GGGGGGGGGGGGGGGGTACTGGGGACATCCCCCCGACTAATGGGGCCGGGAATAAAAAATATTTATTCTATTGTTTTCAACAAAATTCATCAAAAACTGTAAGCCAATTATTTGCATTTTTGAAGTCAAAACAATTCGAATACTGCCGATTTTTACTTAAAATTTTTTCGAATTTTTTATTATAGCTCATTAAATTTTTAAAGAATTTTTATAAAATTTTGGAAAGCAATGGAATAAACATTTTACCGACAATTTAAAAAAAAATTGGTTACGCGGTTTTATTTTTTCAATGATCTATTGTTTTTAATGCCTAAAATCTGATCAAACCAAAACTTTTGAAAGTTTTGTCCAGAACATCGATAATCCCTGTTTATCTAAATATATTTATCTATATATATTTTCGTGAAGAGAGGGTTGTGTGGGTTCATTTATTAAAGAGAATGTTCAACTAAACACTACAATATATATTTATATCTAGGGCCCAGATGAAGAACTCTATCAACTGTATTCTTCTAGGATTAGGTGCGAATATCAAACATCAGAATTATTAATATCTCCAAGGCGTTGCGACACAAAATATTGGACCCAGTCTTAAAGATTGCTGCAACTTTCCATAGCAGTCTGGATAGATACATATTTGGTATTTGACGTGAAACTACTCTTCAGAAAAATAATTCATATATCTTAAATCTATTTTTAAGCATTTACTTAAAAGAGTAAATTATTTTGTTTTAGAAGTTTTGTCTAAATCTAAAATACTGAAAATTAGAAAATTTGGAAATTTAATGCGTATTAGTTAAATATTAAGAGAAAAATTCCTTTTATTACGACGTGTTCAATAATTTGGAAGATGGTTTATTTCAAATAATAAAAAAAATTGTAAAACTAATGTATAAAAACAGACAGGAGGACTTAAAATTAAAACATATTTAAATCAACAATTGACTAAAGTTATGAGTATTTTGTGAGAATAAGAGAACTTTTTGTTATACATTTCTAACAAAATTCAGATAATCCTCTTCACAATTTTCTTGTGATAATCTTAGTTTTTTGCTGCTAATATACTGCAGGTTTTATTGTACTCGGTAAATAAATATTAATGAACATTTTGGCAGATTTTCCCATTTTAAGGTGGATTTCCAAAATTCAAACAATTCAATGTGAACAAAAAAAAATTATTTCTTTTTGACGCGTATTATATCAGAAAAAAAACGACAAAAAACATTGCGCATTGAGTACTGAAGAAAATCTGGATGCACTTCAAGTGTGTAAAGAATGATTTTGTTTAGAGGAAATAGAGGTTTTGTAAGAAGTAAACGAAAACAATTTGAGATTGTGGGCCAAACAATTAAATTTAACTGGACAAATCTTTAAAAAATAAATATCAACAAACGTAAAATATGAAAATATATATTAATTGTTTCTTTAAAGCACTTTATTTTTAATCAAAAAGCAATTTATTCCTTAGGGCCCTAATGTTTCATCAATCCAAGCCCAAACTTAGACATCTCTAGATTAGATTTTATGTCCAAAATATGAGAAAATTCAAAACGTTTTTGCTCTTTAAAAAGAAAAGGTATTGTCGAAAACATGTAAGATATTAATCTAATGTGAAGTTTCTATTTCGATATTCGACCTTTTAACAGCATCCTTTGATCTGATTCTGCTGTTCACTGCTATACTTATGTTTGGAATTCCAGGACTCTACGCTTACAGGTATCAATACCTACCTACCTACCTAAATGTCTACCTTTCCCCTACCTATACCTATATACATACCTACCAACCTATCTATATTTCCCCCCAACCTATGCCTATCTACCTACCTACCTACCTACCTACCTGCCTTTCCCCCTACCTATACCTACCTAACTGCCTTCATACCTACCTACCTTTCTAACTTTCTACCTTCCTACCTATTTCTGCAGAAAAAAAAACAATATTTACGAATTTAATTTTTAAAAATCACAATATGTAAAATACTATTTTCCGCAGCTACCAATGTCCAATACCTACCTATCTATCTTTACCTTCCGACCTCCCGATCTACCTACCTATCTATATATACCTTCCTACCTTCCTATCTACCTACACATACCTTTCTATCTATACCTCCTACCTATACCTACCTACCTATACCTACCTACCTATACCTACTTACCTATACCTACCTACCCATACCTACCTACCTAAACCTACCTACCTATACCTACCTACCTATACCTACCTACCTATACCTACCTACCTATACCTACCTACCTATACCTACCTACCTATACCTACCTAGATATACCTACCTACCTTTCTACCTGCCTTCCTCCAATCCTATCTACCTACCTAGATATCTACCTACATTCCTTCCTATACTTATCTAGCTACCTACTTACTAGTGTGACACACGAAGAAGTAAAAGTAAAAAAAATTAAAATGTGCACATATATATTCTCTGGGTGAAGACAATCCTTAGTATTGAACTGAACAACTCGGTCGGTGTAAGTGGTATTAGGAAAAAATCTCGATTTTGGTTTAGGATAGGGCCGGGGAAGTCGGCAAAAATTAGGTACAGTATGCATTGCTTTTAATATTGAGATAAAGGGCTAAATTATTTCATGCAGCTTCCCATTGTGGCCTTTACCTGGATCAAAAAATAAATTTGAGCTTATTGTCCTTCCCCAAAAGTCAAGATTTTGCCGAAAACCCGAAAACGACTTCCAACTGATATAATGCTCTGATAAACCGAAACTTTCACAAAATGCCCATATTGGGCCATATCTCCCATTAAGCCTAGGTACCCAACTTTTTAAAAAAAATCCCTTTCGTGCGTCACCACTCTACTTACCTACCTACCTATTAACTGCCTACCTACCAATCTACCTACCTATACACCTACCTACCTATCTATCTACTTTCCTCAAAATCACTTACCTACCTACCTACCTACCTGCCTACCTCTACTAAATTACTAACATTCCTACTTATACTATAACAATATCATTCTATCATATCTAACTAATCATTAAGCTACCTCCATAACTACCTACCAATTTACTTACCAAAAATGTAATGTCCTACTTACTCATTAACTAACCTGCATCTAAGAAAGGAATTGAATTTAGTCATTGTAACAATTTTGGAAAGGACACTTATTTGCATTTTTTACTTAAAAAATTTGACATCATACCTGAAATAATATTATAGTCCTGTTGACTAAGTTTCTCCCTCCCCCCCCCACAAAATAAAATATTTTCAATATGAGTTTAGGGCGGGATTTAGAAGAAGAAAAAAAAACTTTTATTAACCATTAAAGACAATTTATGATTTTCAGACATTGTTGATGGGTGTAGCCTGAGAAATTGAGGTTTCAAATTTAAATGAGGGATATTTTTGTTTAACTTTTCAAACCAATGTTAAGAGAAACAACCAATAATCAGGTTCATAATTCTAGGTTAGAATTTTGTCTGAATAAAGTTATCGGTCGAAATGTTACTAATACTCAATTCCTTTGTTTACATGTTTACATATACTTCATAACTTATCTACATTTATATTTCTGCAGCCTCCAGAGTTCAGAACAAAAGTAAGTTTGATAACAAAATATCTGAAAAATGATAAAATCTGTTTTAAAACGAAATTTTTTTTGGAAAAGAAATCAATAGTGTAATTGAATTTGGATATGTTAAATATTTTTTTCCCGATTTATGTTTTCTTAGTTTACTGGGCTGATTTAAAACATTTACGGTCTGGGGTAATGTTTTCATCGCCCCAAAAAATCTGGCCTAATCAGATCAGCTGCAGCGCTTTTGCGTATATCTAATAGGCTTTTAAAGAGACTGTAGGCAAAGCGTATTTTAAAGTGACACTTCATTTGTAAAGTGTCCGATTCAAAACAGTACCATTTGAATTAAAGTCGCAGAAAATGTATATTTATTTAAAAATTTTAAAAGTAAAGATTTATTGTAATTATAATATTTTCTCGGGGCACAGGACACGTCAGTTTAATTAAGTTCAATCCGGATTTAGGCAAATCGCAGAATATTTGAGAGGTACAAACAGTCAAAAGTTTCAAGGGTTACAATGTAAATCGGACATTGTCATCTTTGCATTTTGGGTCACATGAAATTACCAAATTAAACTCAAATGGATAAAATGATAAAAAGAAATTAACTTTTTTTGAATTATTTTAAACTCTTGATGTAATCTGATTTAAAAGTTAAATTGGTTAAGTGCAGATCTAAAATTCTGAGAAATGGAAAAGAAATTCTCAAATGGAAATTTCTTATCTAGCCATTATCAACCTCCATACATTTGAAATATTTCTAAAATTTTTCCACTTAAAGGGCGTGTGCGCACTTTTCTTAAAAGTGTTAAATTCCAAATATTTTCTCTAACATTTTTTATGAAGAAGGTTTGATAACTTCATCTTTTTTGGTTTAAAGGATAATGTTGTGAATCAGGAATACCCCTTTAAATAGAGGGGGACAAATGAAATTATGTATACAGGCCCTTTAAATAGAGGGACAAATGAAATTATGTATACAGGCCCTTTAAGAGACAATCTACTGCAATATTTAAAGGCGGGTTAAAGTTTAACTAAACTTTAAAATTGAAAGCTTTAAACTTTTGAAATGTTTATCTAAACATGGTTAAACCGTTGAAAAATTGCAAAAATTCGTTTATCTAATTTTTTTCTTCGATAATTTGGGCCAGGAAACACCTTTTCTAATATTTTATCCGAAAATGCTCATAAAATAATTTTCAGTAAATTTTACATTTTTGTTTATTTATAGAGAAGGGTTGACAGAACTCTGAACATAAATCCTCAAATCTAACTTTAAAAGACATTTTCTCGGCCTCTGGGTCCCGGAGTAGGATTATTTTTTGATGAATCATATTATTAAAAACTTTTTTAGAAAAAGTAATTAAACTTTTTTCAAGTTTTAAGAATCATCTTTAGGATTAATTAGGATTACTCAGCTTCAGAATTATTTTCCACAAAAAAATATGAAAATATACAGGAATTGAATTTAGCTGGGAACAAAGCGTGTGTAGCACAACAGAGTTTTGACTATAATAGTCGTCCTTGAAAAAAAGCCTTAAAGTAAACATGCATCTTAACGGATTCATGTAGTTACAACTGTTAAGCAGTAATCTCTGTTTTGGTGTTTGATTGTATTTCCGATCATAGGGAAGTGACTGTGAGATGATATTTAAAGAGAAATTTTAGTCTCAAAGCTTATAATAATGCATATTAATTCATATTATGATAAAAAGATAGAGTAACAGTTCGATATTAGAAGTTTTATAAAGAAAATGTTAATTATATTTACACTGAAAATATAAAGGAAATGAGTCTTTGGAACAAAATCAAATATTTAAACCTCAATATCTTTAGATATCAATGTTGTAAACCTTTGATATTTCAAACTCAGATTATTTGATCTAACAGAATTCATAGTTTGAAATATCTAAGGTCTGCAACATTTGGTTCCAAAGATGTAGGGATTAGAAAATCAGAGTTTGTGGTAAAGACTCAATTCCTTTCCAAATAAAAAAAAATGTATTAATAATTTCTATTTTAGCATATTTCTGCACTACTTCATGCTCCGTGTATTCCCATTGATTACCCCATATATATATCCGGTAAGTATAATTAACTACATATATATCCGGTAAGTACTAAATCAAGTAAGTAAAAAATAAAAATTAAGAGTTAGAGAAACGCAGCTTTAAGTCATGTTACAAAATATTCAACATAGAATATTATTTTCAACATGGATTTTCTAAATTTCTGGATATGACATCGTCCCAATAGTTAAAGGGAGTGTTTGCGAAAATATCTATATATATCTGATTCATCAGACCTCTTTCAGTGCATGACCTTTACCCCTTTTCCTCTTTCGCAAACAGTCCCCTAAAATATACAGTCTGATTTTTTTAGACTGAATAAAAAACTTTGATGGAAAAAGCATCAAACGAAGACTTTTACTTTTTTTATAGATTGGTATCGTGGCTCAGACCGGGAGTGTGTACCTGACTGTGTGTGTGTCTGTTGAGCGATATGTGGTGAGTATTTTGTAATTTGTTCTTTGTACTTTGTACTTTGTACTTTTTTACTTTGTGCTTTGTACTTTGTACTTAGTCATTTGTACTTTAATAATCAAAGTTATTGATACTTTAATAGCTGTTTCAGGCTGTGTGCCGACCTTGAACTTTGAATTTTGTTCTTTATATTTTGTAATTTGTATTTCGAACTTTGTACTTTGAACTTTTTACTTTGAACTTTGTACTTTGAACTTTGAACTTTGTACTTTGAACTTTGTACTTTGAACTTTGTACTTTGAACTTTGTACTTTGAACTTTGTACTTTGAACTTTGTACTTTGTATTTTAATAATCTATTAAGGTTAGAAATACTTTTCACTCTGTAATTTGTACTTTGATAATCTATTGAAGATAGAAATACTTTAATTACTGTTTAAGGCTGTGTGCAGACCTTATACTTTGTACTTTGTAATTTGTACCTTGCGCTTTGTACTTGTGCTTTATACTTTGAACATTGTACTGTGTACTTTGAACATTGTACTTTGTACTTTAAACATTGTACTTTGTACTTTAAACATTGTACTTTGTACTTTGTACTATACACTTTGAACTTTGTACCTTGAACTTTGTGCTTTGTACTTTTATACTTTGCACTATGTACTTTGTACACTGTACTTCAATAATTAATAAATCATAATTACTTTAATATTTGTTTCAGGCTGTGTGCAGACCCTTAAAAGCCAAATCTGTTTGTACTTACGGAAGGTAAGAAATTAAATTTTTGCAAAATTTAAAAGTTCTTTAAGTTAATTGAGTTTTCTATAATACATCAATTCAAATAATGTATTATTTATGTAATTTTAATATACAGGGTTACCCACAAAAAAGGAGACTTCAGAAACGACTGTACAGAATTTATTCTGTCTGTTTCTTTATATCTATGATTCCATGCATCTGCAAAGGAATTGAGTTTTTGCCACAAACTCTAATCTTCTAATCCCAATATCTTTGCAACCTGATGGCGCAAACCTTTGATTTTTCAAACTTAGATTATTTTATCTATAAGTATTAATAGTTTGAAATATCTAAGGTCTACGACATTGGGTTACAAAGATATAGAGATTAGAAAATCAGAGTTTGTGGCAAAAACTCAAGTCCTTTGTTTTAATCTTCGAATTCAATCTTGGAATTACTATTTTGTATGAGTTTCAGGTCGTCTTTACTGTCTTATCTTTTGTGGGTAATCTTGTTTATTGTTTGTACTTTTGTAAAAATTTATAAAAACAATAAGAAAATGTTCTGGAAACTTGAGATTAAAAACTTTTAAATCCTTTAAGAGAAACTTTTTAAAATTAGGAACATCTAAAATTTTAATTATTATCTTGTTATCAAAACAAGGTTTTTTTATTATTTTTTTTTGTTAAGTATAATTTTTACTATTTCAGAGCGAAAACAGCCGTTTTGTCCATCACGTTCTTCTCTATAGGTAAATAATTTTAATTATTAAACGTCTTTGACCTTTTAAACGGTTTGGGACATTCAGTTGGCACCCTAGTTTTAGAAAAATCTTTTATGAAATAAAAAAATCCGTTATTCTGCCATTTTCAAAATATAATCTATCATTTTTTCTTTGAAAATTACCAGAGCTATTAAGAGTGTCGTTTGAAAATTTAGAAAACTGACAATTCAAAGCTGACAGGTAACAAAGGCAAACAGACTTTTATTTTGGAAGAATATTTTTCTGAGCATTTTAAATCATACAATGACAACCGCAAATATAACCTAAAATCAAAATATGAGGCGAACGGAATGTTAAATTTAGCCTGAAAATGATTTACTTAACGATTTGGCATAGTTTACAGCTGCAGGAATACAGGGATACAGGGATAAAGGATTACAGGAATACTAGGATACAGGATTACAGGAATACAGGGATACAGGATTTCAGGAATACAGGGATACAGGATTAAAGGAATACATGGATACAGGATTACAGGAATACAGGGATACAGGATTACTGGAATACAGGGATACAGGAGTACAGGAATACAGGGATACAGGATTACAGGAATACAGGGATACAGGATTACAGGAATACAGGGATACAGGATTAAAGGAATAAAGTTTGCAGCTGCAGGAATACAAGGATACAGGGATAAAGGATTACAGGAACACTAGGATACAGGATTACAGGAATACAGGGATACAGGATTACTGGAATACAGGGATACAGGATTACATGAATACAGGGATACAGGATTACATGAATACAGGGATACAGGATTAAAGGAATACAGGGATACAGGATTACAGGAATACAGGGATACAGGATTACAGGAATACAGGGATACAGGATTACAGGAATACAGGGATACAGGATTACAGGAATAAAGAGATACAGGATTACAAGGATATAGGGATACAGGATTACAAGAATGCAGGGATATAGGATTACAGGGATACAGGGATACAGGATTACGATACATATGTTGTCTCTGAAGTCGCATTCTTTCTGGGTAACCCTGGAGGTATCTTTAACTAAAGCGGCTTCATATGCTCGTTTTTGAAAATTTTCATGTTTATTTGAACACACTGTATCTAAATATAAGATATTAAAGAATTAAATAATTAAATTTATTTCTAAAACCAAAATTTTGCAAATTGAATTTTTGGTAAAGCTAAATTTTCTAAAAATGAATTTAAAATGTAATTTTAATCTGGAAATGCAAAATGCTTTGACATCCGATCCTATGTCTGGCGTTTTTTGTAATTTCAGAACTTGTTCAATTTTTTATATTCAATTCTAAAGAATAAATTTTGAGTATGTGGATATTGAGATCAATGCTTGATTTGTATCTTTTGTTAATCTGCAGATAAATTTAATCCTTATTCAATGGCTCACAGTTAAATTGTACCCTGAAGGAATAACTGAAACGAAGAGATTAAGCATTAATCCTCAAATTTAATTTGAAAACTATTAGCTTCAATATCCCACTGTAGATATAAATATCAAGCGATCGGCATTATGAGAATCTATCACCAAAGTTCTCAGCTTAAGCTCACAAAAAAATCTTGCGTAGATCAAAGACAGTTTTCATTCCCATGTTTTTTTATGTGACACCCTGTGAATAAAAGTTTAATGTTTTATATGACACCCTGCCAATAAAAGTCCATGATTAGCAAAAATGATTTATCATTATATCGTCAACATTAACAATGAAAGTTTTCTAAACAAAACGTTATTAGACTCAAGAAATATAAAACATTTTATTTTCTGTAAAAGATAGTTTTCTTGTAACAAGAAAGAACTTGTTTGATCATTCTTAAAATAATCTAACAAGGGTCAGGTTTTCAGCACTTGTTACATTTTATCTTTTCTATAATATAAGCTATAGCTAATAATATGTATAACAAAAATACATACACGTATATATATGAGCGTAGAACTTTATTATATATATTTAGTCTTATTTTTTAACATAACTTCAATCTATATAATAAAACAAATCATTTTGTCTATAACCGTCAAACGGCTGAACCGAATGGGCTGACATTTTTTGTGGACACTCATGGGTGGCCGGGGGGTGTTATAGGCTAAAAAATATTCGAAATTTTTTTTCTTCAATTTTTTTTTCACGGGCAAAATATATATATACATATATATATAGTGTGTATTAAAACATTATATATTATACCTGCGTAGTTTGAAGCTATTTAACGTCAAAACGACTGAATTGATCGGGCCCAATTTTTCGTGGGACCTCATTTGACATCAATGACAGCAATAAAAATTAAATTGTTAGAACCTTAAAATTCAAATCTAAGGATTATGGCGATTTTCATTGAGCTTAGAGGTAATTTCTGATTGAAAAAATCAATTAATCAGTTTTAGACAGACATCCTCGAATTCTTTAAAGAAAATAAAGATGTCGGCGAAATGAATGAGAATCACTAGAATTATTTACATAAAAGCAATTTAGACATTGATTTACGTTTAGAAATTTTTAATGGTTATTAACTTTTAAAATAAAAAAGTTATAAGTTTTTATGTCCCAGAAAATAAACGTTTGCCGTAAAAAAGAAAATTTTAATATAGTTCTACAATATCATGTGCCTCAACCTTTCAGGGGGACTGTAGGCGTAATATCAAGTAACCCTTCATGTCCGATTTACAACGGTAACCTTTAAACTTTTATCTTATCATTAATGACATATCCAATTTTGATTGATTTTTTTCAATAACGATTTCTTTGATAAAGTTCCTAAGGACTAATTCAACAGAGACACAGAACGAAATTATTAGAATTTAACGCTTTTCCAGAAACACGACATTATCTATCTGAATCTGGTTCAGCTGAAGGTTAAAAGGGTATCGTTGTGAATCGGAATACCACTTTTAAGATATAGGAATACTTTAAATTATGTATACAGTCCCTTTATAATCTTGTATAAGCAATCAATCCCTTTAATGATGAAAGTATTTGCAAGAAAGTAGTTTTCTAAGATGTTTCTTCAAGAGTTCTGTTTTTATTAAAAAAGTTTCAGTAGAACCAGAGGTTGAAACTTTTGTATTGTGAATCAAGTATTGCAGACTGATTGATTTGATTCTTCTTCGATATCCGGTTGTGATCATACCCTGCTGGGATAACTTGAATTGAGGGATTAAGCATTGATCATCAACTTTAAGAGTTTTGTTGGGACAATTTATGGAATGACATGGACATTCATAGATAGGACATTTCATAGATAGGACATTTCATAGATAGGACATTTCATAGATAGGACATTTCATAGATAGGATATTTTTTAGATACAACTTTTTATCAAGACATCTCACAGATAGGACATTTCATAGATAGGACTTTTTATAGACAGGACATTTCATAGATTGGATATTTCATCGATAGGACATTTTATAGATAGGACATTTCATAGACAGGACATTTCATAGATAGGACATTTCATATGCAGGACATTTAATAGATAGGACATTACATAGATAGGAAGTTTCATAGATAGGACATTTCATAGATAGGACATTTCATAGAAAAAGAAATTCATAGATGGGACATTTCATAGATTGAACATTTTATAGATGGAGCACATTTTTCATGGTCAGCTAATTTCATAGACACATATGTGATCAGTTTGAGATACATATATTTTTGATACCAATGTATTTCAACTAACAATAATACAATATGTTTTAAATATATATGTATACAATATATTCAATATGCTGCTGAAGAATGTCAAACATGAAACTCAATATCCAGAAATAACAAATCTTAATAAACATTAGAAAATGTTCTAGGCTTATTTCTAGAAGATATATAAATATATATATAAATATATATTTATATATATATATATATATTTTAATTTTTAAACTTCATATTTTATGAAAAAAGAATTATACTAAATATACTAATATAAAATGTGATATATCAGTTTAAAGCAAACTAGCATGCGAAGTGTCGCAGAAAGAACAGGAAATGATTTATTAACTTAATGTACTTAGATGAAAAAAAATTAATGTATTTCTGAAAAATATTCTCTGTCTATGAAATATCATTTTATGAATTGTCCCAACACCCTTAAATGTGTCCTCATTGGATATCGATATCAAGCGTATAAGATTAAAGTTGCTTAACACAAAAGTTCCAACCACAGCCAAACCTTTTGAACACAAAAGTTCCAACCACAGTTTTTAAATCTAAAGTGGTCTTTATTGTATTAGTATGATCGCCTACCATAGTATAATATTTATAATTTGGTATATGAGGAAGAGGTTTATTAAACAGAGACTGCTATGAAGAATTGCAGCAATATGTTTAGTAAAGAGTCGACTTTGATGTGTCGGAATTCGCCAAGGCTTATTTTACATCACTAACTTATTCTTAGCTTCAGTCTGAAAAATTCTTACAGATTTTTACGTAGAGGTTTGTAACCTTTGCATTACTATGCAGTTTTTATTCTTTTAGAATAGAAAATAACCAATAGCATCTTGACATCTTGTGATAAGAAAAAAGGATTCTATTTGTAACACTCTATATCTCACTATGTTACTTGGAAAAAAGTTTGTAAACTTTTTAAATTAAAAGATTTAAGTTTAATAGCGTAGGGTTTATGGGAAATCCCTCAGAGATAATTGGGAAACGATTCATAGAAAAGAGTGGCTTACAGTATTTTCCAGGAGAGGGTGGGGCGGGATAGTTGAAATTTTGCACGCGAAGCAATTCCCCCCGCCCCCTTGGCAAAAATCGGAAATAAATGTACAGTGCATCTTTCCGATTTTTCCCTGAAAGAAAATTAAATTAACTAATTAAACTCCTTAAATGTTGAGTCTCTTAAAGGGAGTGTCTGATTAGACATGGCAGTTGAGCTGAGAATGCAATATTGTAGAAAAATATTTCAGAAAACATTTGAGACCACATGCCACAACATGCCGGGCCCGGCACGCCTACCTGTCAGGTTGTGGCCCTGATCACCAACCTGGCGGGTTGGACAATTCAGAAGGATTTTAATGATTGAATTTTCACTCTTTCTAAATAATTATATACACCTTACAAACGTCTGATAGGTCTCAAATGAGTACTAAAAAATGTCTCTACAATGCTGCTGCATTCTCAGCTCAACTACCGTGTTAAGTCAGACACTCCCTTTAATAAAAAATTGGCAAACCCTAGTTTTAAGGTGTAGATAGAATATACTCTTGATTTATTTTAGGACAATAAAATAGTATTACTTGTTTTATTTTCCATTTTATAGATTTATTATCTCTCTTTTCTTGCATAGCTCAGGTTTCATATATTCACAAATTCCTTCGGGCCTCGGGACATTTTTAAATGAACAAAATATGAACCCCAGAAATTCTAAAAACCTAAATATTTGTCAAAAATGTACTGTGCACTGTGTACTGCATTTCATGGAGGGATTATTAGTTTATCTACAATCTACTTTTTAGCGCTCATGTCCAAAATAAGATTGAATTTCCTCGTCCTATTATCAAGATTCTTTCACGAAACCAAATTTTAAAAAAAATTACTTTAATGCATACTTTGCTTCATAGGTCGTTTCTTCCCTTCTCAAATGGACTGTAATTAAGCGTAATTATGCAACGATGGCAAAGCCCAATTCACAATGGTACCCTTAACAGTTTTAAATGATCAAGTATATACATTAGATATGAATGTTTATGATTTTAAAAACTAATTATTTTTAACTGTGGTTTCTCTTTACAAATGTGACTTGCGTATTTTTTTGCATGAAAACATATAAGAATTATCAGAATTGAATACTTTTAAACCTAGAAATTCGACAATATCTTCCACATTATTGATCAGATGAAGGTTTCTAAGGTTACGTGTAGATGGTGAATTGAGCATTGCTTTCTTAACCCAAAATGGTCGCTAAGTGAATTAAGCTTCTTCTATTTGTTTTCCTTATTCCAATTTAAAGTTTAAGCTTGATTGAATAAAGTTTGTGCTAATTTTCACTAAAAATGCTCAACTCTATAAAACCGCGTTTGGTCATCGATCATATCCGAGTTAGTTCGTTACAAAGTTTCAAAATTGAATACATTCTTTTTCTACTCAAAAGTTGTTTTCTTTAAAACTGGAGTTTCGTCTCCGAAGCCGAGTTTGTTTCTTTCATTAATACTTAAAAGTTTCTACTCAAAAGTTGTTGGCTTCAAAACTGGAGTTTCGTCTCCGAAGCCGAGTTTGTTTCTTTCATTAATACTTAAAAGTTTCTACTCAAAAATTTTTTGCTTTAAAACTTAAGTTTAGTCTACGAAGCCGAGTTTGTTTCTTTCATCAATACTTAAAAGTTTCTACTCAAAAGTTGTTTGCTTTAAAACTGGATTTTCGTCTCCGAAGCCGAGTTAGTTTCTTTCATTAATACTTAAAAGTTTCTACTTCAGGAATAAAGAGAAAACATCTATTCTTTCTTCTTGTAATTAATTATAGTACAGGAAGAATAATTAATTTCCGACAAATATTTTATTACCAATATATTTTGTTTATATCAATAATATATTTTTCTTCGATATGTATAATTATCATTTATGTATTGTACTATAAGCTTTTAGGACGCTTCACTTTCCTAATATTAATTTTAGATTTGAACTTTTGCACTACAGTTCGCCGTTTTTCATCGTTTTTAAATTGTAAATTGGCGACTTTTTTTCGTGCAAAATTTTTTTCTTTGAAATCTTTCCTGGGTCATAATGGGGGCCTAATCGGTTCAGTTTTTAGCAATATTCAGATATTAGTATCTTAGGGGCATGATTGAACTGACTGGCCTGAGCTGAAAACTTTTGAATGGTGGACATTGGAATTAATGCTTGATTCACACTTTTTCTTGATCTCAAGATTAAATAATGCATGCTCTCCTCTTTTAATTAATCTCCAGATTAATTAACCGATCAGGATTAAGGATATTCTATTCTAAAGTTTTCCGCTCTGCATCATGATTATTTTCTTACAGTAAGGGTAAATTCAATATACATGGTTAAATAATAAAAATCCTAACTTATATCAAATACAAATATTATTAAAACATTAGTTTTACGCAAATCAAAATACAGTTCTTCTTTATAAAAAGTCTAAAGTTTCTTTAGCTTGAACAGTTTTTAGGAAAATTAACAATTTAAATCAAGGAAATATCAGTTTTCAAAATGTTCTTTGAAAATTTAAAATAAAAATATTAAAGGTAAAAACTTGTAATAACTGAGATAGAGTTTATAGGTTTGATCTATACAGCACAATAAGAGAATACAGAAATGTTATTATACAGTACTGTTACTAGATATCATATTAAATTNTCTTATAGGTTTTTTCTCTAATTTTTCTTTATATTGAAGATATTATCTTACTGAGAAGTGTGTGCGTTATCTATAGGGCTGAGGAAAGTTTCGTAACGAAACGGAGTTTTTTTTACAAGTAACGAAAGAGTCCGTTAACAAATGGCAAAAACCGTTAATTTTTAAAATCGTTGCCAAAGAATTAACGGTTGATATCGGAGATGAAACGAATGGATTTATAAAAAAACTGCAACTTTCGTTCTTTTTTCTGCTAAAATTAAAGTAAAATTGAAACAGCAATAACTTTAACACTTTTAATTTTACAAACAACCGTTAACGGCGGAATATATTCCATTAACGCCATTAATAAAATTGAGATCGTTAACTTAAGGTAACTTTTTTTAAAACGGCAAAAACCGTTAATAAAACGAACGTTCCGTTCATGTCTTTAATACCAACGTCTACCTGAATTTTTTTTAACGGTTGGACTTTGAACTAACTGTTAACAAAACTTCTCGAAAAGTTGGAACGTGCCCAGCCCTAGTAATCTACAGAAGAAATATATGGATATTTTGATAACCTTTATAGAGCCTTAGAGTAAAGATATTAGTGGAGGAAACAATAACAGCATAGAGTACTTGGGTAAATATAGGAAGCACTAATTTCAATCATGAATTACGGAATACATTAGAGGAAGCATTAATTTCAATATGAATTACGGAATACAAAAGAGGAAGCATTAATTTCAATCATGGATTACGGAATACAAAAGAGGAAGCACTAATTTCAATCATGAATTACGGAATACAATAGAGGAAGCACTAAGTTTAATAATGGATTAATGGATACAATAGAGGAAGCACTAATTTCAATCATGGATTACGGAATACAATAGAGGAAGCACTCATTTCAATCATGGATTACGGAATACAATAGAGGAAGCACTCATTTCAATCATGGATTACGGAATACAATAGAGGAAGCACTCATTTCAATCATGGATTACGGGATATAATAGAGGAAGCACTAAGTTCAATCATGGATTAAGGGATACAATAGAGGAAGCACTAATTTCAATCATGAATTACGGAATGAATTAAGCAAAGATTATTAATCGAACGTTAGAACGAATGAAAGTTGAGCTTTAAATTGCAAATTGTGGAGGGGCACATCATAGCTTTCTCTTATGTGTGAATATAAAAATTCACAATCCCCCGAAAAATCAGTTTCAACAAGTTTTGAATTTTTCAATCTTATAAAATAATTTTCTTTATTTTTAGTTTACAATCTTCCTCGGTTCATGGAGGTCACAACTAAAAAGGTAAAAAAAATTACAAAAAACTTTTGAATAATGTCTCCACACTACACGCTTTTAACATCGATCCAGCCAGTCTACAATTTGTGCTAAAAATGTGCTAGTACGATGATACACTAAGAAGCCTAGACCTGCTAGTATACAAGTGACCGGTAAATCTTTCTTCCGATTCATATCATGTCACGATTTGACGGGAGTGGAATGACATTCATTAGAATAATAAAAATTTCATATTATTTCACTTAGCGCCAGAAAAAATTGCCTTTTTGCATTGAATTGATCTGAAAACTCTTTAAATTGGTGGACATTGACATTTCTAAAATACTCGAACTCGGATCCCTTAAACGCTATCTGCCTGAGTCCTACAGGGTATAGAATACCGAATGCCTACTTTTTCATATCAAAATTGTTCTCTGTTACGACTAGAGTTTCCAGCGAAAAGGGTAAATTGTTTCTCAAAATTTTGCATTAATTGAGAAAAAAACTGTTCGCCGAAAATTCGCCTTTCGTTCGCTCGAGAAAAATGCGAAAATGTTCGCTTTTTCAGCAAAATTTCACTTTAATCTGTTTTGCGATAAAATGGAAAATTTTCGCAAAAAAAATGCGAAAAAATGCGCACATTTTACGAAAAATCAAATGTGAAAATTTTTGGTGGGGAAATGCGAAAATTATTAACTATGATATAATGACACCTTTAACTCAGAGCAGAGAATTTTTTGCGCAGCTACAACACTTGTGGTTTTCGCGAAAATTTTCTTTTGGAGAAATAATTTTTCGTGAAAAGTATTTTCGCAATTTTCGCATCGTTTTCGCATTTTTTCGCTGAGTTCATTTTCGCGAAATTTCGCGAAAAGATACCGAAAGGCAAACGAAAATTTTCGCGTTTATGCATTTGCTCGCTAAAGTTTTTGTTCACTGGAAACCCTAGTTACGATCTACTTCTGTTCAATTTTATCATGCCCTAGGTATACACTGACCTAAACTCCTCTCTACCTGTGTCCGAAGAAGCAAACTTTACAACCGAAGTTCTCCCAACTACACTCAGACAAAACAAATATTATATTCAGGTAGGATTTACTAAATGAACTCTATTAGGGTTTCNATTCACGAAATTCCTCATCTTTTGCGCTTCCTTTCGCCGAATTAATTTCAGGGGAAAATCAAGAAGTTGTGCGAGAAAAATTGTGAAATAATGAAGAAAATGTATAGTCTCAGACATATGTTCAAGGTCTAAATTTGACTATTTCAATATAAAACACATTATAAGTGTCTAAATCCGTATATTACACTTTATAACACTTGTTAAATGCCTTAGTCCGTCTACGACACTTTAAACAAGTTTAAAATGTCTTAATTCGTCTGTAACTTTTAAAACCACATTTTAAATATCTCAATACGTCTCTAACAGTTTATAACATGTGTTAAATGTCTAAATCAGTCTATGGTACTTTAAAACAAGTGTTTAATGTCTAAATTCCTCTATGATACATTAAAACACGTGTTTAATGTCTAAATTCCTCTATGATACTTTAAAACACGTGTTTAATGTCTATATTCCTCTATGATACTTTGAAACGCGTGTTAAATCTCCTAAACCGTCTGTAACACTTTAAAACACATGTTAATTGTTTAATCTTTAAACTAAACTGAAAATACAGGTTGACGTCATATTTCTCTTAAACACAGTCCACTTATATTTAATAAGCTAGATATATCGTTTTTCTATAATAAGTTCTTCGAAATTAATAATATATATATATATATATATATATATATATACATGCAACGGTCAGCTGTTAATTATATTTATACAATGTTGAAAAATAATTATTTTTCATTTGTTCTTTTAAATTATGACTTTAACTTTTGCATAAGAGGCCAAAGGAGTTTTTGCAGCAAGCTCATATTCTCTAATCTCATATATCTTTGCAACCTGAATGTGTAAATCTTTGATTTTTTATGAATTCATAATTTGAAATATTTAAGGTCTACGAAATGTGGTTGCAAAGATATAGGGATTAGAAAGTTTGTTGCAAAGACTCAATTTCTTTAGCTCATCTAGGTTTCTTTTTAATTAGACTTTTTATTAAATGTAAAGAAATTTAATGAAAAAAAACATTAGTAAATATTATTTTTTAAGGCGATTAAATGCCACCAAGTTAAAAAAAAAACGTTTAAAAAAACATTTTATTTTCTTTAAAATTCAATTTTGAAACCCGTTTTTTAAATATTGAAAACTGGGTGGTAGTTAGTAAAAGTTATAAAGCAATTTCTTCGATATCAAATCGTCTGATTAGAATGTAATGCACGATTTTGAAATTTTATTTTTAATTGCAATTTTTATCGACCTTAATGCACAAACCAAGGTTAGCAGTTGGCTCAGTTCCAATATTGATGATGCTTAATTTATCTAGATCTATATTCACTGGATGTACATGATATTCCTGTACTTGATCCCCTTCACCCTCCTCGCTGTGTACAACTGCCTCATCTACTGTGAAATCAGGTAGTTCATCAAGTAATTAATAAATCAATCAATCAATTCATATCAATCCATTAATCAATTCATATCAATCAGTTTCTGCGACATGCAAATTACTCACTAAAACAGTTTATGTTTATCATTAGTCGATATAAAATCAAGCAATCAATTAATCAATTAACAAAGAAATTAATTAAATAATTTACTTTTAATGAAATCAATCAATCAATCAAAATCAATCAACGAATAAAGATATCAATCAATGATTTTTAATCTACTGATTAATAATCAAAAGAGAATCAATCAAATTCTTCATTAATATTCAAATTAATAAATTTTAAATTATTGATTTAAATAGAAGTCAGTCATCAATTTTAAATCGATAGGCCATTGTTTCTATAGACACCTCCAGTTTTATTGTTCTAGACCTTAGATATTTCAAACTTTGAAAGATGTTGGATAAAATAATCTTGTTTAAAATGTAAAAGGTTTACACCATCAGGATGTAAAGATATAGAGATTAGAAAATTCGACTTTGCGGCGAAGACTTAATCCTTTTAAGCCTTAAATTTGAAAAAAGATTTACAAAATTTTTTTCGTCTCAATTTCTTATCTTGTGCAGAATGGAAAAGAAACTTGAAGAATTCTACTATAGATTGCTCAAGCTTATTTCCCTTGACTTTATTAAAAAAAGAAAATATATATATTTCTGAAAATATTTCAAACTCGGAATCTCCTTTCCATTTCCCCAGTGTGCAGTGTGTGAAAATAATCAGAGCTTGGAACTTTTATATTGTGGATACTGGATACTCATGATCCCGATCATTTAATCTCGATATCCACCCTGGGCACATTTATATTGTGGATACTGGATACTCGTGATCCCGATCTCTTAATCTCGATATCCACCCTGGGCACTTCTATATTGTGGATACTGGATACTCATAATCCCGATCTTTTAATCTCGATATCCACCCTGGGCACTTTTATATTGTGGATACTGGATACTCATGATCCCGATCTTTTAATCTCGATATCCACCTTAAAATTGTAGTTGATTAAACAGCATACACACGTCACAATCTATGCACATAAAATGAGCCGTTAAGAAAAACTTGTAAATTTCTAATATATAACCAGCATTATAGTTTCAGTACAAGTAAATATTTTCATTTAGTGTATAGCACCGAAATAAGGATTCATCTCTAATTGGGTGATGAGATAGATAGAAAGATAGATTTTACCGCCATACTGTTTCTATTGGTTTAGAATAGACAACAAACACATGGTTGAACCCTGATTGGATCAGGCGCTAATGGACTCGGCATACAAGAGTGTCAGATAAATTTGCTTTATTTATACCTGTAAAATCAAAACTAAAAGAGCTATGAGGTCACAAAGGTATACCTGTCATGTCGCATAAATTAGACCTTCTTATTTTATCTAGTTTAAATGTCATGTTCTTTTTAAGTTTTTATTTGTAATTCGAAAATTTTTTAAATGTAATCTGCCACGTATAGAAATAAATATACATTTTAACAAAACAGATACAGGGTTACCCACAAAGGATGAGACTTCAGAGACGACTGTACAAATTTTAAACTGTCTGTTTCCTTATATTACTATTTCTTTGGCAAATCACTAAACAGGCAAAGACCTAATATAACCATGAAATCATTGTGTTATATGTGGGTAAGGGTAACCCTGTATTATCAATCTAATGTTATTAACCTTTGATATTTCAGACTTCATTTGATCTCACAGAATGCATAGTTTTAAATACTTTACGACTCTGGGTTGCAATGTTAGATTTTTTGACAAAGACTCCATTACATTGAATGGGAACATAACTGAAAAGGGGGCATATTTTCGTGTCAAAAATGTTGCAAATGGATCATGTTTAACATCGATTTAGAAATCCTACAAGAAAATTGAGTCGTTGGCACAAAATCAGATTTTCGAATCCATTTATCTTAGCAACCCAATGTCGCAGGCATCAGATATTCAAACTAAGATGACTAATTTGTTAGATCAAATAATAAGTTTAAAATATCCAAGGTTTAGACTATCAGGTTGCAAATATATAAGGAATAAAACGTTTGAGATTCAATTCCTTATTTAACAAAACAGATACAGGGTCACCCACAAAGAATGAGACTTCAGAGACGACTCTACGGAATTTAAACTGTCTGTATACTTATATTATTACTATTTCTTTGGCAAATCACTAAACAGGCAGAGACCTAATATAAACCATGAATTCATCATATTATGTGTGGGTAACCCTCTATTATTTGATCTAATAGGATTTATAGTTTTAAATACTTTACGACTCTGGGTTGCAATGTTAGATTTTTTGACAAAGACTACAATACTTTGACTGGGAACATAAATGAAAAGGGGTCATATTTTCGTGTCAAAAATGCTGCAAATGGATCATTTTTAACATCGATTTAAAAATCCTACAAGAAAATTGAGTCTTTGCCACAAAATCTGATTTTTGAATCCATTTATCTTAGCAACCCAATGTCGTAGACATTAGATATTCAAACTAAGATGACTAATTTGTTAGATCAAATAATAAGTTTAAAATATTTAAGGTTTAGACTAGCAGGTTGCAAATATATAAGGAATAAAACATTTGAGATTCAATCCCTTAATACTTATGTATAATATATGTATTATATGTGTAATATGAGTAGATAATAAACACCTTATTTCCTCAACCAAAAGATTAAAATTGAAAAATTGTACACGAAAATATGTTATGATTTAAAAGTCCATTTTCAAAATAAAAACATCTCAAAACATAAATCTTGCAGGGCATAAATCCTAGTAAAAGAAGATTTAAATATTTATACTATTTTCTACCAAAATATCTTGGAAAATAAACCTCTCTTCAAAATATCACTAATTTATGCAAAATATTAATAAAATATTCAAATACAAAATCCTTCCTTTGACGCGTTTTCATCTTAAATATGAGATGTAAAAAAGGAATTTTAAGCGTCAGAGTGCAGCCATATGTACGATTCAGAAGAGAACCCTTAAAGCGTTGTCTCCAATAAAGTAATAAAGTATAAATGAGATATCGATTTTTATAATTTGGAAAATTAAAAAAGTTATCGCTACGATGACAAGAAGTCAAAATATGCACTTTCTGACACGAAAATCTATGTCGATTTGGTCAAATACCTTTATTTAATTGAAGATATAAAAGTCCAGGATTAGCAAAAATGTTATTGGGTTTGTAAGGAAAAACCTAAACAACGCCATGGTGATGTTTCTTAGTCGGCCCGGTCTCAATAGTTTTTTATTGTTAGAATCACTGCAGTGCGATTAAGGTTTGAAAAGTAACGTGATTATTGAACTAACTAAAAATTGTAAAGAAATTGAATTGATGCTGTTAAACATTGGATAAATAAAACAGAACTGGGAACTCTTGTATTGTGGATATTGATATCAACGCTTCATCTCGATATTTAATCTATGGATTAATAATTGAAATCTTTATTCGATATCCCGCAGTGTAATTTTACCCTGAAGGGTTAACTGAAATGAAAAGATTTTGCATATTATTTGTGATCAAAATTGAAAAATTTGTCTAAAAATTGTGGACATATAGTAATTCTGAAAATCCACAAATGCAAACTGAAAAGTCCACTAGATTAACTATAATTTATACTCTATACTGGCTTTCAAAGAGATTTAATAGGATTTAAGTCTAATGCAATCTGCAATTCAATGGTTTGACAGGAAATGGAAAGGGGTTTTGGCGGGTTACCCTTCCCTCCCTCGTCAAGAACGGAACAGTATGAAACATTAAAAGGAATATCTGCATTGTATGAAACCACATTTCATACAGACACCATGCCTCTCATAAACAGAACTGACACATGATTGCAATTTAATTCTGACATTATGAAAAAAATATGACTTTTGTGCATTTATTTGCATTCATTCATTGCACAATTCATCTTTGCATGATTCATCTAGCCTAAACTCATTCAAGGTTTCATTCATTCATTATTTTATTTTGTTTAGTGTATAATTAATTTATTGTATGATCCAAGCTTAATATAATTAATCCATTCATTGTTTTATTTCATTTATTGTATAATTTATTTATTGTTTTAATTTATTCAGCGTTTAATTCAATTATTATTTAATTCATTCATTGTTTTATTTTATAAATTGTTTAATTCATTTATTGTTTAATTTATTCAGTGTTTAATTTATTCATTGTTTAATTCATTCATTGTTTATACATTTTTTGTTTAATTCATTCATTGTTTAATTCATTTATTGTTTATACATTTATTGTTTAATTCATTTATTGTTTATACATTTATTGTTTAATTCATTTATTGTTTAATTCATTCATCGTTTAATTCATTCATTGTTTATACATTTATTGTCTAATTCATTCATTGTTTAATTCATTTATTGTTAAATTCATTTATTGATTAATTCATTAATTGTGTTATACATTTATTGTTTAATTGATACATTGTTTAACTCATTTATTGTTTAATTCATTAATTTTTTATACATTTATTGTTTAATTCATTCATTGTTTAATGTATTTATTGTTTAATTCATTAATTGTTTAATTCATTTATTGTTTAATTCATTCATTCTTTAATTCATTTATTTTTAAATTCATTCATTGATTAATTGATTAATTGTTTAATTCATTCATTGTTTTAGTAATAACTTGTTTAATTTTTTCATTGTTTAATTTAACTTTTATTTAATTTAATTCATTTATAACTTATTTTTTTGTTTTCTGAGCCTTCTCATCCGAGCCATCCAGCTCATCCTTTTAAATTTCATTTTTAAAGCTCTTGAATGCCTATAATTTTAAAAATATGATAAAGCAAGGGCATGAAAGAAATATTAAAAATTTAAAAATCAGAAAACTGTTTAATTAAAGGTTTAAAAGTAATTGAATTCTCAACACAAACCTTAATTTTCTGATCCCTATATCATTGCAACCCGAAAATGTAAACCTTTGATATTTCAACATTAAACTATTCAGAATTCATGGCAATCAGTTCCTTTGTGTGCTTTTATGTTTTACTGGTTGAAATCCATCATTGGATTGCGTTAAAATCCTCTTAAGCCCTTATTGGCTTATAGTGTAATTCAGCTCATTTTAAAGCTTAAAATATCAAAAATATATTTCGTATTTTGCTAGTATAAATTCAATAAAAATAAAGATCTCTTTATTGGAAAGAGTTCAAAAATTACTGTTTGCCAATTATATGGAAAGGAAAAAATTATAAAATTTTAATATTGTGGCTCGGATGTAGAAATGACGTGGCTCGACTTCTGCCCCTCTCTGTAGACGACAAAATGAACAATAAGTTTTAAATGAAAAATTTCATTTTCCTGAATTGAAAGAAACTTCCCATCTCTTCAATTGTTTACAAGAGTTTGAAAAGAATTACGTTGAGAAATCTAATTTTGTATTCTTTGAGAAGCAGTCCTTTTTCCCCAGGATTTATCATTCCAGCAAACCCTGAACCCCCCCCCCCTAACCAGCAATGGAGAGAGGTTTCTTTTAATCATGAAAATCATGGTCGTTGCATTTTTGTCGCGTTAATTTTAGCTTTTGGTGGGGCCGTAGGTGACCTCAGAATGTTCTTTTTTAAATTTTCATAACGAAAGTTGAGGCACTCCTGCCTTTTTTTATTTTATTTTTTTTTATTTTTACGATACTGTTTTTAATAACAATATAAATTTTTCTTTTTAAAATAGTGTTCACAAAAAATGAAAGGGGTACAGGCTGATATTCGATCGTTTTAATTTTTTTTTATATACGATGTACTTTAAACTTATAGTTGCCGTTTAAAGTATATGATATAAAAAGTATAAATTATAATATATCAACTTTATACGAATGCATAGATTTGATTCGACATTTATGGGTTGTACTATCTGAATGGTTAATTTCAAGTTTAATTAAATTACTTACAAGTTACAATCTAATGAAATAATGCAGTTCTGTAGATTTTTATAGACGCTACGCTCTTGGGTATAAGATGTGTTCAACCATATACTCAACAGATTGCAATTGCGCGCAAGTAAAATCTACTTGCGTTGAAACCCTATATAGTCTTTAGAATCAAGCAAAGTTTCGTTAGGAATAGAGAACATTTTATTGGTTATATTATTGTATTAAATTTTCCATCTATGATTTAAATCTTATTAATATTATTTGTTCAGAACCCAGAAGCGTGAGCTTGGACTTGCGATGATGTTAGTGTGTGTAGTTATATGTACTACACTCTTATTGTCACTTAGAAATAAGATTTGCCCATTGAGTCTTTCAGCCACATACTGACCCTATATATATATTTATACCCACTGTATATGAACTAATGTACTGACCCTAAATATATATTTATACCCACTGTATATGAAGACTTGCGATGATGTTAGTGTGTGTAGTTATCGTCTTCTTCCTGTCTAATATACTGGCACTCGTGGTCAACGTTCTAGAGGTAATAGTTGAAGACGACATTTTCTAATCAGCTGATGCTTTTTGGCGGGCTTTTGCCCCATTTGAGAGTTTTCTGAGTTTTAGTAAGCAGTGGATGATTTTTGAGATTTTTTTATATCAGCCACAAAACATCTGTCACTTAATTCTGTTAAAGCTTTTCTTGCAAAAACTTTATTATATTCTTTTATTCTTATATGTATTATATTCTTTATTATTGAAACATGATGTCTAAGTATCAGAACTACGTATTTCAGCATCTTGGAACAATGTACTTTATACTCACTCAAACATCAAACTTACTGGTCACTGTCAACAGCTCAGGTGAGTGGTCAGCGGTCACCAGAGGTCAACGGTCATCATCACTTCAAACTAAGCTTTAAACTAAACTAACAGAATACAGCGATAACCAGAAAACTCTGGAATGGGAAGTGGATTTTTATGCTCAAGTTTAGACTTTAAATAGTCCAATGCACATGAGGCACCAAAATTGTACACTATAAACAGACCAATTCCACTTAATTAATGATTTGATAACAATAATAAATATATTTGCTTTGTAACATGTTTAAATGCACTTTAGTGTTACTTGAATGTCGACACACTGCAGTGTTCTGGTTATGACTGTAGACGGTGGGTTTTAGCGGAGAGTCATATATATTTATAAATCATTTCTAACCTCTTGGTTTCACATTTTTAATATTTATATTTATTATATATATTTTGTAGTAAACTTCATAATCTACTGTATCTTTGGAGATAAATTTAAACGAGTTTTTCTTCAAACATTCTGCTGTCGGGACAGAAACCAGGTAAAAATTATGAAAATTATAATAATCAAATAAAAATAATTTTTATGATAATAATAGTATGAAAGGTCTTTTCCACAAACTCTGATATTCTAATCCCTATATCCTTGCAATTCAATGTTGTAGACCTTAGATATATCAAACTTTATAAATTCTGTTGAATCAAATCATCTAGCAAAGATTGAAATATCAAAGTTTTACACCATCAGGTTGCAAAGATATATGAATTAGAAAACTTGAGCTTGTGGGATGGACTTAGTTCCTTCTTCATCTTCTCATGTACGTCTAATAGGAGTAGATGTACACAAATAGAATGTACAAAAATGTTAATAATTAGATAATGAACATAATATTGAATAATTGAACAATAATTGAATAATAAGATGATAAGGCTTTATTAAAGGTGAATCTAGAAATAGACCGAAGAAACACTAGGCCTAGTCTACAAATTGAAAAGGTAGTTATTAAAATATATATTCTTACTTATTGCCCTTTTTTGTTATTTTTTTTAAAGTAATCATCGTTCTCTAATGATAAAGTAGCACTAAGCTAGAATAAAGTTAAATTGGTTCGCGGATTTCAAATTCAAATTTGAAATATTTCCAGAATAAATTTCAATTTCAATTGAAAATGAAAATAAAATCAACTTTTATTTTTTTAATTTCTGCTTTGTTTAAAGCTTATTTAGAAACAACCTTTGCAAAGACAGATAGATAAACAACATTATTTCATGAAGTTATCCATACCATAACACTTTTGACCTAAAAATTTCTCTCTATTTTGAAAGTTCTTGCTTTTTTAGACTTACCCTCTCGATATAGAGAAAATGTCCGTTAAGAATCTTTTAATACTACTAAACTAAAATAATAGTGTTATAAATATTTATATTTGTTCCGTTCTAAAAACTCTAAAAGTTGTTAAAAGCTTTTATTTGTGGAAGAAATGTATTTGACATTATTGGTTTGAAAACTAGTTCTTGCACTGGACAAATACAATTCAATAAATACAGTTAGATTTACACCATCGTCTTCAAACCTTAAAGGAAATTGCCACAAAAAATGTCCCTTAAATTTTACTAGAAAGGGGTCATTAATTTCGCGTACTGTCTCGCTTTGCCGTATGTACTGTACAGCTTGCTCTAGCTGATTAAAGTTCTGCCCGGTGCTTGGAATGAACCGAAGTTTATAGTAGCAGTGGTGTTTATAGTTCACACATTTCTTCAAGAACAGTCCCTGTAAACAAAATGAATTTATTTCCCAGCATCTGTGTGCATTTATTCCAGATGAAAGGATTTTTTTTTCTTATTTATTTGGTTACAGAAAGTCACAAAAAGTAAAAAGAAATTTTGAAAGAATCATTAATTGGTAAATTTGTCCATTACTTTTTTAATGTTTGAAACTGCGTCCGCTGTACATGAACTTATGTAGTATGTACTGACTCTAAATATATATTTATACCCACTGTATGACCGTATATATATATTTATACCCACTGTATATGAACTAATGTACTGACCGTATATATATTTATACCCACTGTATATGAACTAATGTACAGACCGTATATATATATTTATACCCACTGTACATGAACTAATGTACAGACCGTATATATATATTTATACCCACTGTATATGAACTAATGTACAGACCGTATATATATAATCTATGCACACCGTACCGTAAATAAATTTATGTACACACTTCCCTATTTATAACAATGTACACTGTACATGAAACAATGTACATACAAATCTATTTCTAGCAATGTACACTGTAAATGAAACTATGTACATACAACCCTATTTCTAGCAATGGACACTGTACCTGAAACTATAAATATACAACCCTATTTCTAGCAATGTACACTGTACTTGAAACTATGTAATATACAACCCTATTTCTAGCAATGTACACTGTAATTGAAACTATGTAATATACAACTCTATTTCTAGCAATGTACACTGTAATTGAAAATATGTACATACATCCCTATATCTATCTATCTACACTGTACATGAAATTATGTACAGACCACCCTGTATATATCAATGTACACTGTACATGATATTATGTACAGACTAGCCTGATTGGAGGATCCAAGGACAGTCCAAGGAGAGGAATTACCAGGTTTGAACTTTGAAACAAATATAAAATGAATGAATATTAGTTGAACTGGGTTCGGATACTTGAACAAAAATGTGCTAGGGAAGTAGAAGTGATCATTTAAAGTTCCATTTTTTACTTGAATCAAAAAAGTATGAAAAAATATGTCTCGGGGAGGCTCAAACTTTTTTGACATTCCAAGGGGTTGGGGCCCAAAATTATAGTTTTACCTCTTAGGCCCAATAGCCCGCCCTCTTTTTAATTCAATGGGAAACCCTCATGTGATCCTCAACATTTAATCCTGTGAGGCCAACCCCTTAAAATCATGCTATTTAATACATTAAGGGGTTCTTCTGGTGGTCATGGTTAAAATTGTGATTTGTGGATGGACGGCTCAGATAAAAAGAGGATGTGATCTAATGACCCCCCCCCCATCCACACACTCACCATCCATAAAAATCATAAAAAAATATATAGATATGTCATCTTTTTTATTACGAAGTGTTCTTGCATAATGAAGTAATGTATATTGAAAGGGATCTGATTTAGAATGTGTTAATACTATTTATAGATATATTTATTCTATTCATATATTGTATATCGCTATTTTATATGTGAATAATCATATTAATAACGTAAACTATAAAAAGGACAAAAGAGATGACTTTATAAGTCCAAAATTCCTTCAAAAAAACGAACCATCAACTTGTTATTGCCTATTACAAAATTTGAAACCAACCACTGTTCCTCAGCTAGTTCACAGTTCTATAACTTTTTAATGGATCACAAAGTTCAGACTCACTAATCACAGCGTGGATATACTCGTAAAATTAAGAATATAACTGTGAAATCAAGAGTTTACCAGTCATTGAACTTTCAGTTTTTATATTTTTATTTGAGACCAAAAATCCACGAAAATTTAAGGAGGATTAAAATAGCGACTTTCATTACGGTCTCAAGCAAAAATCGATGAGAATTCTGCCAATTACTTCTTTAAAACCAAAGCTAACAACAAGTGATTAGGAGTGATAAAATGAACATGTAAAGGTCTACAGAAAAGCAACATCGAGGTAGAGCGGTAAAATCTAAACCCAAAGTGTGCGACAGTTCAAAGTCAACCCTGTCTTAAGAATCACTGAGACTGTTTATAAGCAGGGTGAATCTATAGAGACGGTTAAATGCTAAAATTGTAATTTAAAGGAAAGGAAGCGATATTTGTCTTAAATAACAAAAATAATAAAAACATTAAATTAATCTCTTGTTTTATCTAGAATGGCTACAAAGAGTTCCCTACTGCTGGAGAGAGGTCAAAGTGAGGAAAAAGGTGTTGGAGGAGGAGGACGAGGACGAGTAGGAGGAGGAGGAGGAGGAGGACGAGGAGGATGGAAGGAGGGGGTAAGAGGAAGTGAAATGAGTGGAAAAAGCAGTGTACGAGGTTCATTTGATAGCAGAATAATTTCCTTTGACGGGAAACCTAGCTCTCTAGAACCTTGCATTGAACAGGAGATAATTCCTTTAAAAACCTTCTACACTAAGGTCTAGACAATTCACAAAGATAAAAAAACACATAAATTCAAACAATCCACCTAAGATTTGAACATTATATGCTGTTTTAACAATCTGAACACGAACTAAAAACAGTTCAAAAAATTCATGGGACTAAAGTTTGAACAATGAACAATTCTCTAAGATCTGATGACTAGCTAAAGTTTGAACAGATCATAAAGATCTGAACACTAACTAAGTTTTGAACAATCCGCCAAAGATTTGAACATTGTATACTGTTTGAACAATTCATAAAGATCTGAAGACTAACTAAAGTTTCAACGCTTCATAAAGATTTGAAGACTATAACTAAAGTTTAGAAAACTCATAAAGATTTGAACACTTGATAAAGTTTGAACAGTTCAAAAATATTTCTGAACACTAACTAAACAGTTCAAAAGATCTTAACAATATACAAAGATATGATAGCTGATCAGTTTTGTCAATCTGATGCGCTGATTAAACCAAAGAGAAAATGTACTACACTCTTATTGTCACTTAGAAATAAGATTTGCCCAAGGAATTGAGTCTTTCAGCCACATACTTAGATTTTCTAAAATCTTTGAATTTGCAACCCAATGTCGTAGACCTTTGATATTTCAAACTGTTTGGATCATCTTAGTTTAAGATATTAAAGGTTTACATTATGAGGTTGCAAAGATATAGGGATTAGAAAATTTGTGTTTGTGGCAAAGACTGAATTACTAACAAACTAGCTCTTTTTAGCTTTTCCATCTTTAAAAGTGTTTTAAAAAGTTCTTTCCAATCGTAATTCAATTAACTTTTTTCCCTAGCTCTTTGAGTTAAATTTGAAGGCTTTTATGTCACAAATATGTGTAAAAAAATAATTGTGAAATGATAAATGTTAAATGTGGAGAGTTTATTTTAACGAAATTATATTTTAACATTGCTGTAAAATTATTAAATGATTTTTGTATCGTATTATTTCAAATATGAACTAGCTTAGGAACCTAAACTTTCTCTGTAAAAGTTAACCCACTCAATTTTTTCAAAACCTTAAACTAAGATCATCCTGATGGTTGTACCGAGTTCCTAAAGCAAAATTTGAGACAGATCGGTCAAGGGGTTCATGAGTTATGATAGGAAATCCAAAAATCCAAACCAAAAGACACACAAAGATTTTTTCTTCATATATATATCACTTCACTGAAAAGGGGTTGTCGAAGCAATTTTTTACGGCACATTAGAAAGTGTCATTATGAACATTGAAATGTTGTCTGAAAATTGATACTTTTCTTTTTGCGGATTTCAAAGAATAAAATTCAATGATTTCTTTCTTTTTGGCAATTCTGAATAGAATAGTTACTTAAAATCGGGCTAACAGTCTTTTTAATTAGAATGTACTTACTTAATCTTAAGATTTAATTAAATTGTTTAAATTGAGAGGATCCGAACTTTAATTAAAAAATATAAAGTTTCGTCCATTATATAGTCAAAACTAATCAAAGGAACAAAAATACAAAATTAAAAAACTTAATTAATTAAATTAAAATTTGCATAATTCTTCCTTTTTGAAAAAACTTGTTTGCAAAAATAATTTCAAAAAATGCAAATTCAGGGGACATTAGTTCCAAAACTAACACTCAGTGTTAGAAATGGGCACAAATTGAAAGACTGGGTATTTAGGGTCCCAGCCCATATCCTGAGTAAATGTCGATGGTAAAAACTATAACCAACATTTTATTAATCAAGACGAGGACAATAATTCTCAATTAAAAACTTTTTTCTGGAATCAAAATTTTAAAAGGAGTTCTTTTATATTTAAACCCATGACCGTTTTCAAGACAATTTCATGTTTTACATTTTCGAACATATCCTGAATTTGAATCATTGTCGCGTTTTCGAGACAAAACCCATTTTCCCGTTGTTGAGTATAATCCACAATTTGAAACAAAATAAAAATTATCTAAATTAACTGCTAAATTATTTCTAAAATCTTAATTTCCCTATCTTATTTGTTAAATAATTTCTCGAATTCTAAATAAACAATTTCCTGGATTTCTAGTTCAATCTACATTGTAAGAACAAAATAATATTAAAATTTAGATTTTTAATGATTTTTAAATCAGAAAAGAACAGTACTTTTTTTGTTTTCTATATTTGTTTATATTTTAACTACATTTTACTATCTTAAGCATTATTAATCGATCTAATTAAGGTTTCAAGGGTACCATTGGGAATTAATTACCCCTCTTTTTTTTAAATTTGCATTTAAAAATTCAAATAAATGGACAAAAAACCTTCTCACCGCATTCTTTTTATAATTATTTCAACTAAATAAATGTACGCACTCGATCCATATGTTTGGAGTTACATGTACGCACTACGAATGTTGTTTCAAAAATATTTAAAATTAATTGTTATTACATATATACGATCAGAAATAAATTATGTATTTTTAAATGTACAAATAAGTACTTTTCATGTACTTTCCCTGTAAATCTAGTGAGAACCAAAAAACTGTGGAAAAGGAAGACGACATTAAAGCAATCTTTAAGTGTATTTAATGTTATTACAAAACTGTCCCTTTATATGTACATTGTACACTGCATGTGAAACACATTGGACTATTTAAAATCATAACTTGAGTCTAAAAGTTGACTTACTATTCCATATTTCTGTTTTTCACTGAAATTGAAAATACAGAAAATATTCCATTTAAAAAAAAAATTAGGCTCAACCCTGAAATTAATTAAGTCTTTGTAACAAAGTCGATTTTCTAATACCTATATCTTCGCAACCTGATGGTGTAATCCTTTGATATTTTCCAATAGTATTTTCAAATCTCACAGAATTTATAGCTTGAAATTTCTAAGGTCTACAACATTGGGTTGCAAAAAAAGGGATTAGGAAATCGAAGTTTGTGGCTGAGACTCAATTCCTTTGTTTATCAATTTATTTACTGACTCAAGTCCTTTGTGAATAAGGGCCATAATGGTTGTAACTTTGTGTAACCCCGTTTTCTTGCGGCAAGAGCACGACGGTTATTTAAAAAAAGAATATAATCATTCTGAATTTCAGTCCAAGCTATCGGACTAATTTTTGCTCGAAAAGAACGAAAATTTGTGGTTTTATTTATATTTATTAATAAACTGAAATCTGTTTTAGGATGAAAGTGATTAATACTTTGATTTAGAATAATTTTAATGCCTTGGCCTCACTGATGTTCTTTGTAGCCCTAGGCATGAACATTTCAGAACTATAACTTATTTTTCTTCTTAATGTCATTTTTACGATATCAATTGTAATAAATTTGACTAAATTTTACCAAAAGTATTTTTTAAAACCTTGATGTTTATCGGTTTTCTGAAATTCAACACTATTCTTGCTAATGCTAATGTTGTAGGTTTCCTTGCAATGATGTGCTTTTCGGACCAATCATTTGACCGTCCTCTACCCTACCCACAGTATCAAAAAACATTATTAGCAAAATTGTCTTTAATCATGAAATGGAAAAGTCAAGAACTTTGATCAGTCTCTCAAATGGGCCCCATCGTGATATTCTTTAAAGGAACTGTAGACGTAATTTCAAGTGGAGTTACAAGTGAAGGCGATTCACAATGGTAGCACTTTAAACCTTTTTCGGTAAAACTTAGGACAATATCCTCGTGACGTGACACTCTTTAAAAGATCATTTGAAATTATGCATCCTGTATAAGTATACATCTTTTGTATAAGATGAAAAAGTGTGTAGTTTAGCTTAAAATAATTTATTCCAATATTCATATTAGACAATTTTGAATAAAAATACAATCTTTTATAATTTAGAACTTCTTACCAAGGGCGATGACTGATCTTCCTAAATCAGATTTCAAAAATACGAAAACTCAGTTTAACTAGGTTTGACTAGTTTTTCTACTTTTCTAGTGCACTCTTGTTCCCCATTAGAAGTGTTTCGAGTTTACTGTAAGATTTAACTACTTTTTTACTATTTATTCCTCCGAAATTCATGATAAACAGTTTATTCTAAAATCTATTCTTTTCATTAACATTATAATATCATACTTAGAAACTTAAATTAACTAATAGATAAATCATAACATTAACAATTCTCAGAATATCAACCTTGTTTAATTATTTCTTTGGTTTTAACATTTTACTAATGTGGGTGCATGTGTCCACTCTTTCTCTTAGGTTTTTAATAAAGTACAACATATACAGCCTGCACAATTATACTTAAGAAATTTAAAAATAATCAAAATGTCTATTTTAGTAAAATATCAGTTTTCATGGATTTTTATAAAACAAAAAATAAATCCTAAGACTATTGAAACATATAAAGATGCTGTTTTTATAAAATCCGGGAATAAAAATTAGCGCCATCTTGAAGTCTTTCTATTTGAGAAAAGTTGCGGCATTCAGCCATAATGGGTTCCCTTCGTTTCATTTCTTACCGTCAGTGAAAATGTATGTAAAACTTTATCATTAAATCTGTTAACAGAAACTTTCATTACAATTTTAATTGACTCCCCAGTCCCCATATAAAGAGCCACATGCCCGATTTAGATTTAATTACTTCTGCGGAAGATAATGTCATTTCTTTAGCTTAAAACCTGTTTGATTTTGATAATTTCTCCCTTATTTCATAAGCAAGAAATGCGCAAGTTGTAAAAAACCACGAATAAAATAAACAGTTTTTAAAAACAAAACTACTTCTAACTAATAACATATTTGGGATAAAAATCAAGTCAAAAACTATTTCCACATCTAAGCTGTCGTAAGAAAAACAAATTACTGCTGAAAATAGCAACAAACATTCAAATATTAAAATAAAATCATAAATTGCTTCATGTTATAATAAAATACATGATTATATATATATTTAAATGGACAAATTTTAGAAATATTTCTAGACTTCAAAACAGCGCTAGATTGATGCGACTTATAAAATATTTTTGAAAAAATAGAAATTGGAACCCAGGGAAAATTTCGTCGGAGGTGCGACCTATTAATATTTACAATTTTATTCTTCGCCCCTCCCTTTCAAAATCCCCCAGTTGCGCCTCTGCCGATGATCTATTCTCTAGGGCTGTTGATGAGATTAAGACTCAGACTCTGTCGGGAAAACTATGTAATTCATTAATTCTTTATGCGGACAAGGAATGGGAAAAGTTCTGTTAACGAAGCAGTTTAACAAATAAAAAAAAAGTAACCGGTCAGCCTTTTATCAATAACGAACTTTATTTGATAAGTAGGTAACTCAAAACTCTTTGAGTGGAAGGAAGTAGGGCTGGGCAAAATTCCGAGCGGGATGTCTTTTTACTTAATTCTGAGGAGCTTCTTTTAGTCTTAAAATTAAACCATTTATATTTATTTTTTCAGTACAGTGTGCGAAAATGTTTTAAAAAATAAAAAATAAAAAAAGGATGCACGAACGAAATGGATCGTATTGAAAACGGTTTAAACGAACTTGAAAAAAAAATTTCTTTTTTTACTGAACAAACGATTTTTAGAACAAACTTAAAAAACAAGAGTTTTTACTGAACAAATGATTTTTCAAACAAATTTTTGAAAAAACGATCGTTGTTTTACCGAGCGAAAATTTTATTGAACAATCAATTTTATTGAACGAACAATTATACTGAACGAACTATTTTATTGAACTTTAGTAAAGTGAGAAAACGAACGAAAGAGATGGAAAATGAACAATAATTTTGAGAAGGAACGAAATGGGTCATTCACGAATGATGAACGAACGAAATGAAAACAAGTGCCCTTCTGTACCCAGCTCTACTGGAGAATAATGAATTAGGAGATTAGACAATAGATAAACAAATATACATTGATAGTTGAAGAATGAAAAAATAATCAGAGGCCAAATTTTTTGTGTTGTAAATCTCAGGATTGACTATAAATCTCTGTTCTTCGGATCATTTAAACTCTTCTTCGATCCCGGGTGTGATGATACATTGATAATTGATGAATGAAAAAATAAACAGGAGCCAAATATTTTGTTTTGTAAATCTCAGTAAGAAGTTGATGATTAAGCTGATTATTGATTCCCACAGTTTTGTCGATGATTCAGAACTTGAAAAATTCAAATTGAAAAGTCAGCAGGTATTTGATATTTCACATAGATCCAGACTGCTTTGTAAAGTTCCATCAGGGTCGAATTTGAAGTGTCACAACACCTTGGACTTTGATTTTACTTTTACTTTACTTTGATATACATTTTTGAAGCCCTGGACATGTACGTTTTAGAACTATGAAATAAATTGTTTTTAGCTTTAGCTTTTTGGAAGTAATTGGCAAAATTCGGATTGATTTTAGCGTGAGCAGTGTGATTTAGAAATATTGTATTTAATACAGAGAAAAAAAACCTAGACTAGGGGGGGGGGCTGGTAATTTTCACCCCTCGTCGTCGGTCGAAAATTGGTGAAAAAGCCTCAATTTCAAACAAAGTTTTTGGCCATCAAGGTTCTGTTTGCTCTTAAACGTCTTTTACTAAAAACAAAACCAGTTAAGAATTGAGGCTGACACCAAATCAACGAGCTTTAAACGAGATTAAAAATTCAAAACTTCTACCTATAGAAGATAAATTTCCAGAATCCCAAGAACATCATAATCTGCAGAATTAGAATTAGAAAAATAAAATTATAAGAGCAAAATAGATTAACAATACTTTTGTTTTGACACACATAAAACAAGGCAACTATATAATAGTTGCATTAGTTTTCTTGTGGATGAATTTATGTACAATGTACATACCAGTAGTGTTTTATGTAACCAGTACATTTGCATAAGTTTTGTTCGACTTCCAGGGAGGGTGCTCCAATCTTCTTTGAATACATACTCCCGGACACCCTGTACAGTGTACAATTACTTGTACTACCTGAGTGTACAATTACTTGTACTACCTGAGTGTAATACACTACAAAGTGAGTAAAAAACCGGTTTATCGATGTTTTGGTTAAAATTTCAAAAATTTAGTTTGCTTCGGATCTTAGGCTTAAAAAAATTAAATGTGATAATAAATAAAAAAAATTTGGAAAGTGTTTTTTCTTGTTTTTCAAAAATTTTATAAACATTCATTTAAAATTGAATGACACTTCTTGTTGAATTGCTCAACTTTTCAAAAATATAAAAATATTTTAGAATTTTTATCACAGTTAATTTTTTACGCCTTTTACTTTTTTTTTAAGTATCTGTGTCATGCATAAAGTCCTTGTGTTTTATATTAAACATGTCTCATTGACTATAATTTATTGTATTTTCAAATAAAAGAAAGATTTCAAAATATTTACCTTAACATAGGTTTCTATATACTCCGACCAATTTAACTCTTTCAGATCAAAATTAAACAAAGTTCTAAAAATGAAA